ACACACACACACACACACACACACACACACACACACACACAGAGAGAGAGAGAGAGAGAGAGAGAGAGAAAGAGAGAGAGGACTTTCAGGGGCCAAGACCCCACTAGCAGCTTTGAGTTTCCTCAACGCCTGAATCTGGACGTGTTCACGGAGATGTGCGATTGAGGAAACTCAACGCTATTTCTGCACATCTCCACGAACACGTCCAGATTCAGGTGTTGAAGAAACTCAACATTGCTCGTGGGACTTGGCCCCATGAGCTGTGACATGGATCGATTTGCTCTATGGGAAAGAAAACCAAAACTCCAAAGAAATGTGTGGGCGGGAAAAAAAAAACATAAGAAACAAATGCGTTCTTCTTTTCTACGGAATAAAAAAATGTTTGAAAAACTGTCACACCGTTGAGGTAGCTCAACTCAACGGCGCAAGTGGGACGAGGCCCCAGGAAGCGGACAAATGGGCACATGAATAGTACATTTGCGAATTTGGGAATATAGGTAGATCTGTGTGAGTATGCCTTCACACTGGGACCTATAATCCCAAATCCCCCAAAAAAACGGTAGCGGACCGGTCACGCAAATGTTCCGAAGTACCAAATGTATTGTTGGTGTGCCCTTTTTTCAGAGGCCTGGGAGGCATTCTCGGTCACCTCCAGAGGACCAGAGGTGACCGCAGATGCCGTTTTTTTTTTCTTCGCATTTTCTCCAAAAATTGGCAAAAATTTGTTCACAAAAGTTCTTGAACAATATGTGGATGACTTCGTGTGACAAGCCAAGTGCCAAGTCCCCATTCCTCCAGACGGCCGCGTCTTCCAAGTTCCAAGTCCCCATTCTGCCATACGGCCGCGATCTTGTCCCATCTGAAAGGTACAACAGTGTGACGTGAACCATGCGGATTTGGGGTCGCAGTGTGAGTATGCCCTCAGGATGGAGCAGCCGGGTGCAGCATAGCAATCAGCACGTGGAGTTGCGGGCGAAGCGAGCAGCAGCTACATGCGGGACTCTCTCTCTCTCTCTCTCTCTCTCTCTCTCTCTCTCTCTCTCTCTCTCTCTCCCCGTCTTACTCTTACTACTGGTCATCTTCGTTGTACTCCTCCTGCTCATCCACCCCCTTTCCCTCCTCTCTGTCATGCTCCCACTCGCGCGCCATCTGGCGCGTGTTTCTATTCCCTCGATTTCGTCCCCCCACCCTGCTAACTCCTTCCCTCCGACTTCCCTCTCGCCCTTTCCC